TATCCAATAACTGCAATTTCCGTGGCCTCGCTTATTATGAATTCTTTTTTTGCCCTTGTTTTAGCAAAAACATTTTCGTTGCCCCTAAATTTTCGATAAAGTCTCAGAAAATATCGTTCATACGGTTGAATGCGAGCGGGATATAATTCACTGTAGTATTCTCTTGCTCTCAAGGAGGATTTTCTGCACACTAAATAGCATTCTAACATATCACACTTTTCTTCATGGGAGAACATTTTTCTTTAAATTAATGACACAATAAAGCTTATAAACAAGTATTTACACTAATGTTTGACATTATTTGATTTTATCATTGTTTTCCAAAGCCTTCTAGTTGCGAGTATGTCCAGTTTAACAATTTGTCGCTTATCTTAATGCTGTCAAATCGCGAACGCCATGTTGTTTTCATAGCCGTCGTAATATTATAATACTGCAAATAATTAAAAATATTTATCGTTATTTTGACTTTATTTTTGACTTTAGCGGAAAAGTCATTATGAACTTTTTTGTTTAAAATTTGATGCTTTAACAGAAAAAAATATAATATACAGGGGTTTCCATTTAAAAAAATGTTATTTTACTGAAAAAAATCAAAATAACGACTCTCAATTGTTTTTTTTATTTCTCATTTTTACCAGCGTTAAAAATGCTACTAGTTTGCTGATTCAAACAACTTTGTATTTTCACTAATAACAAAGTTACTAATGGTGGACACTTAATTTGGATAACCCTGTATACCAATATTGGAGAAAATTTTGTGAAGACATTTTTGAATAATCGTGTTGTTATCGTTATTATCTTTTTAATCGATGTCACAAAAAAATAACCAGCCAAATAAACAGCATGTTCTTGTTAACAATGTCACATAAATAACAAAAATATATATTCTTTAACGTAAACAGTAAGTATTAATAAAATCCTTAGGCCCAGGTTAACTTCCTGGTTAGTTAACTATAACCAGGTAGTTAACTTGTATTTGCCTGCAAATGCATTTTTCAAGTATTTTGACTGCCAGTCAACTTACAGAAGTTCATCATATGTTTATGTTCCAACCCTGGCTCTGTGGTTCTTAGATATCGTGTTCTATCAGTCAGTCAACCTTACATAGGTCAAAAGACACGATAAAAATACAACTAAGTTGTAAGTAAATTCTGTTGAATATCGTGTTTGTTACCTTTTTTTAGCATCACTTACATAATCCATGACCTAAAAATTGAGGTCTTCAGTAGCGGAGAAAAAACGGCTATTCCTGATGCTAAAATTTATCAAAAACTGTTTTCTAGCGTGTAGGAAGAGAACATTAAGAAAAGGTCAGACTTTCTCAAAAGATGAGGAAATGATCTTTGTAATATTGGTCAGTAAAAACAAAAGCATAACAGAGAGCAAAAAAGTGACTCAGTTTGCTTGAAAGATAAAAGTTCTGTTTCTACAGTTCTTTTTGTAAGATGAAATCTTGCAAGTAAGTCCAGATTGTCCAATTTCGTCACGTCGTGATCCATAAATATGTTTCAATCTTAATTTATATTTATATTAATCGATATGAATTTGTGATTTTTTTGAATAAATGCCAAAGCCTGTGTCAACAAACGTCAGGTATTGTTATTTAACTACGGCTTTTCTATATAACTCATAGATGGTCTTCTGGTTAACTACCGTTTTACTGTAAACATGATATTGAAAAATGCATTTTCATAGATAAGTGTAAGTTAAGACCAAGGTCTAACCTGCGACTGAAAAACCGGACTTTGGAGTTAATTTTTAACCACAGGTTATAAGTTTATATATATATAACTTTAAGCTAAAGCTTAAAAACATAATTTTCGTGATTTTACTAGCCGTTAAACTGGATCTTCTTTCTGTATACATATTTCCCGTTTTGAAAAATATTCTTTCGCAACAAACATAACTTCCAACAATGCCTTCTTCAAAATTTTAAAGAGATGGGGGATGTTGGCCACCAAATGGATACTTTTTTATAAATTATGCCAGGATGGATTCTCGATTGCATCTAAAGCATCGATCGTTCAGTATGCATCGATGTTCCAGATAATGCACTCTATCACTATAACTCCAAACATTGAAGCCGACGATGTCGGTGTCGTTCCTTTGCACACACAGCCGATTTTGCGAAAAGAATCGAAGTCGGAATTGGGATATACATGAATCAACATCCTGAACAAATCAGAATGGAATCAAATCACCAGAAGCAACGTTTTGGCCCAGCTCCAATTGACATGCCTCGAAGGCTGCTGTGAACAACCGAGTTCTGTCTTATACATGCATTGGGTCAAAGTTTATCAGTTTGTTGAATAGCTTCTAGGCGACGAATAACAAGTGTTATGTAAATTTTTCGGTACCTTCCCACTGGCTATCAATGCTCTGAATCTGGCATATTTACATTTTATAACTTTCGGCGCATCTTGCTCTTTCTTTTTTCTTAGATCAGATTAAGAGAAACATGTATAAAAACGGATCACTTGAGAATATAAATGATACAACTTCTTTTTGGAAGCAAACTGTTTGAATACCTTTATATAATGACCAAAAGAACTAAAAAATACACTTGTATCAGCCAAAATGAAAACCATTATGTTACTTTTACATTTTTTTTGTTTTTCTTATTCTAAATAATATAATGTCGAATTCAGATGAGACTTTCGCCATTTGGGTGTATATCAAACATTTCGTTATCATATAAAATCGATTTTTTGATTAAGCTCTAAATGGATCAGAATACTGAAAGACATCAAACATTTTGTTTAGAAAAACGAAGCCAGGAGACGATCTGAAATGTTTAGTTTATAGCTACGCTAACACTATGCCATATTTCAAAATCCACAAAGCTTTTTTGTCCTTGAAATGGTAGCAAATTGGAAAGGCTTGATGCATATGTGTTATAATGTACAAAACACGTTATATGATGATTTAGAAATATTTCGCGATTATAGAACTTCCTCATGTGGAAAGTAAAAAGTCAAGCCTATTGGCCTTTCAAGTTATTCATTGGATTATCATGGACAACGGTGTAGGTAACTTCGCTGCCTTTAAAGTATCACTAGAATACTAAGCATCAAGAATCTCTCGAAATTGTTTTATTGTCCAATTCCCTGAAGCAGTAGAAGAGTGGGTGGAAAGCTTCGTTAATTTACATGATAGGGATTTTTTAATGTGTATTGCACGTTACACGAGTTGTAATTGCAGCATCTACTGCACTGTAAAAGAATAAAACGGCAATATCGGATCGGGTGTTCAGAGGGATCAGTTCTAGCTTCTACGTTAGTTCCTTTAAAACCTTCAGTTTTCAGTTTTCTACCAGAATTTCCTTACATCTTTTTGGGGGTGATAGAAAAATCGTGTGTACTTTACCCTGCACTTCCTATGCAACGCTGTCGTGAATTCATAAAGGATTAGATTCGGGACAAGTCAATCCCTTATTAAATTAAAAAAAAGTAGTCTATGGTCCACACATATTTGACAACATTGCGATCTAGCCTACCGCTATACCAATAGTACATACACAAATTCCTCAGCATTCGAAGCAGACAGACGTACGCTTGTTAACTTGTCCGGAGAGCATACACGGAAAATAGTAAATAAAAATTCAAATTTTAAGAGCACGGAGAAAGCTACGATGTATAAAATATGTCCAGTAGGTACGTAGAATTACCGGTGTTGAAAACGTATAAATTGCTAGCACCAAAAATTACATGTACTCTACCCCACCTCTACAACATCCAACATCCAGTTTACAACTCTGCAATTTTTTTTCTGGAAATGATTAGGATCTCCTGAAACATCAAAAAAAGAAGACTGAGTGATTTTTATTTTTGTTGTTCTACGCCATCACTGGGTCGATTTTCTAAAGGAACAAAGCTTTCTTGCCCTTAGACAGCAGCGGCGGCCGCAGTGGTAGACTCTTCGCTCTCCTGATCAGTCGCCATGTGCTGCGCGGGTTCGAATCTCGTCCCAAGAAAAATTTGTCTCTTGGCTATGGACGTTGTGATACTCTGTAGGTAGTAGACGGTCTCTGACTGTCGAACGCGGAGGTACCACCCGGCGGATCTCGTAGGCGGGGCCAGAATGTGTGCATGTTGGATGCACACGTGTTCCCTCGCCAGAGTCCGTGTGGCGTCCCTCCTTTTCCCCTGTATCCCCCTATAGCCATACGGTAATTAGACCTAAAAAAAAAAGAAAAGAAAGTAGTACTCTTTTGAGGAAATTTCATCAAAATTAGTGGGGTACTTGTCATAGACAGGCCAATAATAGCGGATAGACAGACAGGCCGACAGATAGACATACCGACGGAAATGAGTGACATGGTTTTTCGTGATGTGCATGTCATATAACATTCAAAGAACAATATCTCAAAGACCTCTAAATCTTACATTGTTACATTGAACTCCGATCCATACATTATCAAGTATCATCTTTCAAGAGAAATAGGTTAGTTAACGCCGTTGACTACGAATTTCTGGGGAATTGAAGAGCCAGGTTGACGACTATACAATCTTTTCATTTGACAGATTTAATCTCTATCTTCGTTGCGCTTGATGTTGGTATTAAAAATGTCTATCGTTTTTTTAGTCTTAGGAGCAACCGAATATATGTATGAAAAATGAAAAAAGAATGATCGCTATTGTTTGGAACGTCAAAAACGAAGCCTTGGCGATTTTTTTTCGTTTTCTCCCCATAGTTCTGGACCTCACTGGATCGATTATCAAAACCTGACAAGATATTTCGTGTTTGGTATAGTAGTGATCTTGTTTCAAAATTTGATCAAAATCCAAGTTAAACAGAGGGAAAAGATTAGCGGATGGATCGACAGACAAACCGACCGATGGTTTCTCATTAAACACATGATATGTAACATCCAAAATACATAGTAGCTCGTTTTCGAAATTTTCCGCGATTAAAATCATCAATACTTCGTCGCCAATTGGTGTGGGAAGTGAAACGTGGCTTACAGCGGCCACAAAACAGTATTTTTTATTATAATCTAACAGTAAGAAACTAATGTTTACAGCACTAATTCACCGTGAGTACACATCTAGATCTGTCATCTCCATCTGGCACGGCAAGCGAGGGAAAACAAGTGAACAGCACCGAGTGAGCGTCGGCGAGATCAAAGTTGGCGTAGCTGTCAGATTCCGGAGCAGATTCGACGTGACATTAGCCTACTGCGACTGGAGCGCTGCTAGAATAGTAAGTATCCAAGTCGTGTCTAGAAAACACGCTGCGCAAATGTGTATGGTCATTATATTATAGGTGAAAGATAAGAGAATGGTACAGAAAGCATCAGGTTGATTTAATGCTCATGGGAACATTTTGTCACCATGCCAGAAACAGTACAAAGAATACGCATTCACAACAACTTCGTTTTTGTACAATATCTGGGTTTTGATTCTTTCGATTATCGACAAAACTTACAATCAACCAACACTTTCAAAAGTATAATGAGTTTTATTGGGAACAGGAGATAAGTATTTCAACCATTGGTAGAGGCCACTATGTTTATTATAAAGCGGTATTGAGCCTCTTATAACCAAGATCTAGGGAGGTTGGTCGGGGTTCGGGACGGATCTATGGCGACGGATCCTCAAAGATCAAGAAACTTAAATTTCCCCATTTTTTGATTAAAATATTATTTCGTTTAGATTAGTTTATTATATCTAATATTACGTATTGATTTGGCTTTGTTGAAAAACAAAGCGTCCTCCTCCTCACATGAATTGGGGCTTCCTGAACGGATTTCCGCAGCCCAAGGTAGTCATTCAAAATGGTGGACTTTGTGAGGGCTACCGATATGCAGCGCCATCTATTGGAGAGTAGCCGAATGAAAAAAATTCATCCGTATATCTTTCTTAAATGATTTTAAGGTAATTCTGTAACATAAAACTCTTAAAATACTATACTCAAAATTCCTACTAAATACGAAGCTATGATGTCGCCATTCATGAGAAGGTAGCGGAACTAAAAATACAACTATTAACATCACGTCGCAAGTACAGATTTCTGCTCATCTCGAACGTTATCGTTGAGTAAAAATTCGTTCATAGAAGTAGCCACACTGTGACAGCATCAAATGAAGAAAACATATCTTCACAATAGGAGAGCGCTGACGCTGACACGGGACAAGTGTAATCTAGAAATTTTTGAAGGAGAGAAAGGAGTATGACAATCAAGGAGGCCATAAACGCGCCCTACAATTGTAGGGACGACTGACGATACGGGCCTTAAGAGCGTAAAACAGACCCTTTGAGTACGTGTTTCATAATCTCTAGTTAGTTGACTGTATGTATTATACAGGGTGTTTCAGATTCGACCCTCGCTATTGGGATCTCAGAAACTGTAAGAGATACGAAGTCAACTATACAGGGTGTTTCACAACTTATCCGACAAATTTTAACCACATTTACACTGTTACGAAAGAAGTTGATTTCACAAAATAAAAAAATTAAATAATAGACCTACAGAAATCGAGATAATAAAATAATATGTAATATGCGCCACGCTGTTGCATGTGACACTTCTGACTTGCTGAGCTAACTGCCTTGTGCTTATTCCCGGATTTTCTTCCACAATATCCAAAATTTCGTTTTCTGCATTTAAAACGTGTTGTGGGCGAACCCGACCTCCATTCACTCCACGTCTGGGGTACAAATATCCACTAGCACGTGCACGTAAAACAATTGAACTAAATGTGTTGTGATGTGGTATGTGCTTATTCGGAAATCGATGTACATACAAACGAGAAGCCGCTCGCTAATTTTGCCCTGCTTCTCCGTGCGCTAAAACAATGTTCACCAACTCTTCATTAATGTACACATGTGTCATTTACTGAGAAACACTTGATACAATTAGGAATCACTGTTATTATATAGGAAGATCTCCTGACCTTGTTGACAAAATCTGGCCATCTCTCAAACCTGATATTAGATGTTCGCAGAATGGTTTCGGGAGATATTTTCCGACTGTTTAATACAAAAAATGTGGCAAACCGCATTCTATCGAAATGGTCCCTTCCCAGCGTTCATGAGAGAATATAGTATAGAGGTATTTGTGCATTTGATATAAAAATATATTTATTTGTCAAAAAAAGCTTCTCAACATGAGAATCTGATACTTCAAATTCTGAATACCTCTGAAAAATAAAGGCTCATGTATATGCATATCTAGATGGTTTTAGTTTATGCCAGAGGGTAGGAAGAGTCTGTAGCAATTCCGCATGTGTTCTGGCCATCTTTCTTCAGCCTAATGTATCCTTTTTCTCCCCAGTCAGCAGCCCATGAGTTCTTCACTATCCAGTATTCGATCTCCATATCCAACCACCAAAATAGCATGATTCATGGATTACCTGTCACACTCAGCCACATGTGCTGTCTTCGAGACTATAACTCGACAGGTAACTGGCGTCAATAGCACATGATATTGGACCTGTGGTTGCTGTAATAAACCATAAATAAAAATGAAGATAATAAATGTATAATGCTATCAAAATATCTATTTTGATTACCTAAGCAATTCTTCCAGACTATCGTAATAGTACATTTTAACACAGCAAGAATAGTCAGTTATGGAACTGTAAGCTAATACTAATTACACAGGAAATTATATCATTAGAGGTTTAGACCTCGAGACTCACTAACTGCTTGAGTAAGCGCCTTCTCGTCTTTAATGGTAACGTTGACATACGATTTTATTTTGCATCCACTTCCTTTTTGCTTGCATGATTTTGTAAGTCCCTCGTAAGGATATTCATTTTCTGTGAGGATTCCTTTGTCTTTGACGTAATCGTATGCGTAGTCCTGAGCCCTCCATTGCATCCCATGTTACCATATGTACCATCAGAACAGTCTACTAGATCTTGTGCACTCAAGTCCAGTAAGGTTCCATTGCTCTTATAGTGTTGCCCTTCCAAAGCTCCGAAATACAAAAAAGAGATTTCAAGAAATACGTTCTTTCAAAGAATTTCTTGTTTTTGGCTTTAGCTGGCTACTTTTTGTGTACTTACTGTGCTAAAAGCCCAACAAGAGCCACACATTCACTCTGTATGCAGTTACTGTAGCGTCCTGCTTAGTATGCAAACGCATGCAAATCGAGGGTAATAAAACAACAGATGATCACCAGATAGCAACTCGGCATTATATTCAAAGAAACAACACCATCATGTCGGCTGTCAGCTCGGTTTATGCGCATTGCATCCGGGCTCTTTCTTGAATAGGCTGACTGCCTACCAATTTCAATTTGCACTTCACAAGCTCAATTATGGATGTGATGGCTTGAATTTTGACATGACTGGTTTAGGGCACTATCAATGAAAGGAGTGGTCAAGCAGAGAAAAATGTTGGGCACCGTTATTGATTGAAAAAAATTATGAAAAATATATCTACTTTGTAAAGTTAAGCGTAATTTACACGTTCATAAATGGGATTGAAGTTGATAAGTATTTTTTAAAAAAGTAATTTTCGAAAACCTTTGATTTGTAAATAACACCACTGTAAACGGCCTAAAAATAAGTATTTTTTGTCATTTTATTGGTAGAAGAAATGGTAATAAATAACAATATTAGAGGAAGTTTTAAGGTATATATTTGAGTAACAGAAAAAAAATATTCAAAAATCGCGGCGCCTCAGCATTTCGAACAAATATTCTTTTCATTCGAATTTTTTACAATATCTTTAAAATAAAATTTTGGAAAGAAATACTTAGGTGATTTTCGATAAGCAAAAGCAAAACAATTTTTGTCTGAAGTTGAACGTTTTTATTCAAATATTACACTTGAAAATCAATACTTTTGAAACCATCTACGTATTATTTACATAGCTATAAACATAAACAATGAGTTATTCCTTTTTTCTAAATATAAATCTGCGTGCCTCCAATAAACATGACAAACATCTCCTTTTCAGGGTGTTACAGTGGTGTTATCCCTTAAGCGAGGATACAGAATATATTTATATAATATACAAGGTGTTTTAAAAGTTGTGTCATTTATTTTTAACTACTTGTAGGACTCGTTAAAAGGAGTTTATATACCAAAAATCACTGACATAAAAGTTCCATAATAAAAGAAATAGTAAACGATAAAAAAATTTAAAAAATAATGTTATTACACAGATTTTTTGATATTCTTGACTACCGCCGGGTAAACTCTCAGCGTTTTTTGTTTATTACTCTTATCGTTTATCTAAATTTGGCAAACATTTTGTGTTATCAACACAATCTGCCACAGTTATTAGAATGTGTTTCTCTTAATGGATAGGGTGTAATGAACCCATTTCTTGGCCTGCTCGCTCCCGGATTTAACGCCTTGTGTTTGTTTTCTGTGGGGCTATTTGAAAAAAATGGTGTATCATGATGGATCAGTAAATGCTCTGGAAGAATTTCAACGGCGCACTGAAGATGCTTGTGATTTAATTCGTGGACACCAGGATTTTAATTTCAAAGATTGTAAACAGTCGTGGATTCGCCAAGCAAGATTCTGCATTAATCGAACAATTGGGGACAATTTTGACCGTTTTTCTAAAAACGGTATCCATTTAATTTGATTATGATTTTTTTAAATAATGTTTAATAATGTAGACTAAGGCCGATTTCACCAACATTATTATTATGGACCAATAGGAAAATACCTTATCGAAATGCAATTTGACGGAAGCTGTCAAAGGTCTCAGAATATCAGTGATTTCTATTAAAATGTTGAATGAAAATTCGACTGTATTATAAACAAGACCACTTTTTGATTCCAACATGATGCTTTTGTACAGAGAAAACAGGACAACTTTCATGTATTTTGAGTTATGTTATAGGTGTACATTTGACCATCCGTTATCCCCTCAGCGAATGGGAATGGGAGAAATAATAGGCCGATTTTATAGCTGTTAAATTTGGTAGCAGGTTTAGTCGTTTGTTAAATCATGGCAATCTCGAAATTTATTAAGTTCAATATACTGTGTGTATATGTGATCATTATAGCTACACATACCTGTTGAATTGTGCGGATTTGCAAGAAAATAGAATATAAAATGTATTCCAACCAATTCCTCATCTCTCTCCTCATCATAATAGTAATCATTTGTTATAAATTCATGGGTTAATGAATTTCTTCAAAGCAATCAAAACAGTATGGTCGTCCCCATCCTAAAACACCGATATGTTAATCACTACATCTCCGAGGTGCATAATGAAATTACTGTAGACATAGACCTAAAATTATTAGTAATTACTGAAAAATAAGAGCTAAAAAGGATTATAAATAGTGATAAAATATTGGAGGTTAGGTTTTTGACTGGTGACTGGTGGGGATACAATATAGAAATGGCGACGATAGATGATACATTGATGTATCGAAAACATCGATACATCGGACGTAGAACATCGATTTTTACGCATCGATGGTTTCATGACGATATATCGATATCGAGAGGAATCATAAACATCCGTAACCGTATACCCCGAGTCTATCATTAACTGTGCTAACATCTCTAAGCGTGGACTGGTTGCTTCGAAATTGAAAGGCCAGAAAGCTATTTAGGTGTTTAGTAGTATTTGAATATCATCATTACTTACGAGCACTGAGCCATTGAGTGGCCACTGAGCACTGTAGTATTTTATTCATTCTGTACTTCCCCAAGGGATAGAATAAAATAGACTGAAAACAGCGCGTTTAATGATTTTCAGTTCTCAGAGAAAGATTTTCCCCTGCCGGGCCTTGATATCGTTTCGAAATATGCGACACGACATGAGAGCTGTTTAATATTGTTATGGGAGCAACTTTAGGATCAAAGGTATTGACAAAGGTAGAGTATTTTAAACACAAAAACTGCGCTAGTTTTATCAGAAAAAAACACTATATCTCTGAGCCACAGAAGCAAAGCGAATCTCAGGCTTTCGATTCTCCCATCACTAGTGTGATGAAATGACAATTTGTCCCTTCTTGGATTACTTGGAAAAGTGATGTGCTTTCCAGTTCGTTTCATTAAGTTGCGTTCAGTTCTAGGAACTAGTTCGTGAACCAACTACTTTATGCAACAATACCACAAAAAATATATATACAGAAACAGAGCAGATATTCCAGTGTTTCAGTCGAGATAACGATTCAATTCATATTTTTAACCGTTCCAATACATTCAACTGATCGCAAATGTATTCTCCCATCACTAACATTATGAGACACTAATTTCAAATGTCAATTCCGATCTCCTTTGGACTATTCTCCTTCTCCAACGTCACTGTATTCTATTTCAAATTTCCGTATAAAAGTGCTCCCTCCAAGATTTTTTTGTGAAGAAATACATATTACACTGTCGTGTATACGTTAAATCTGCACGAACCCCTAAATACGTGGTTATGTTAAATGTACCATCACCGATGGTGCGACTGATTATACACTGAAATGAAAACAAAAAATTGCAACTGCAATTGTATGTATGAATGTTGAAACTGTTAAACAGTTTCGGACCAGTGGGGTTAAAATATCGTTGAGGAACTGAAAAGAAGTGTATGAATGTGTTGAAATGCAACACCTAACAAAAAATTGATTGAAAAGACTTTTTCATGTAAGGGTTTGGAAGTGCAAGTTTGTAAATGTAGGATAAACTATAAGCACACAGTAGGTGATACAATCGCATATGGATTACAAAAGTTGCAGTAAACATGGAAAAACCTTCAGCTAATCTGAAAATATAGATTTTACTCAGACATTAAGCATTTTTAAAAATTTTGGCTCAGTTTTAATTTCATAATATTTAATAAACTGAAAAGATTTCAATGGCAAGCTGTCACTTCATATTTTACAGTGTTTTGTTTTGAATACTTTGATGCTATTTGCTGCCAAAAATTTGACGGAGGTATCTTTATGCTGATTGGGTATATTTAACGGACTGTTTGGTACTCGTACCCTATTGGTGCAGAATAATGGTTTGTTAAATTGTGAAATTCACCCTATCTCTCTTAATATGCAACTTTTATAAAAGTCATTTTTGGTATATCAACTTCTTTTGAAGAGTTCTACAAGCTGTTAAAATAAATAACTCAACTTTGAAAACTCCCTATATAATAGCAAATGCACACTTTTTTCCTGCTTCCCGACTTCTTCCATCCCACTTTCGTATTCCGAAAGCCATCAATTGCTTTGACCATTCTGGCGGTCTGGTTTGTGTGACTAAAACCCAAAACTTGTTTATCCAATAAAATTTCAAACACTTCAATGAAACAATTTCATGAGAAAGATGAACCTAGGATCGTTGCATTTAAGAAAATATATACTAAGTGACATATAAATCCGAACACCCAGTTTAAATGGTTTTATTTTAATAAAATTTTGTATAAGTACTTAATGAAGCATAATAAGTAAATGATAAAAATTTCAAAATGATTGCACTGCTTTAAAGCCCTTTGACCTTTAATAATGTGTGGATGCACCCTGATGTGCTACGCATTCTCCAACGCGCCTAGGCATGCTTCTGATCAGGTGCTCAATGTCCTCCTGTGGTATCTCATTCCAGGCAACCACCAACTCCTTTCGAAGTGCTTCTAGAGTCTGAGGAGGACGTTGCAAATTGAGCAATCTCCTACCCATTATATCCCACACGTGCTCAATTGGGGATAAGTCGGGAGACCTTGGTGGCCATGGTAACAATGTGACATCATTATGTTGAAAGAAGTCTATTGAGACTCTTGCAACATGTGGTCGGGCATTATCTTGTTGGAAAGTTGGATCTGCCAGGGTGTCAAGATAGGGTAAAAGATGGGGTTCTAGAACTTCGTGGATATAACGCTGCGCGTTCATGTTACCTCTGATGAAGATTAAAGGTGACCTGGAACCATAAGCTATAGCACCCCAAACCATAACTCCAACAGTGTGATGAACATGTCTTTCAACAAAAAACTGTGGATTCCTCCTTTCACCACGTCGCCTTCTAACCCTGGCACGACCATCGTGCATGCCTAAACAAAATCGAGACTCGTCACTAAAGACAATACTGTTCCATTCCTGATCCCAGAGTGACCGTTGTCTGCACCACTCAAGACGATTACGTCGGTGTTCTCGAGTTAAAGGGAGGACCCAGTGTGGCCGGTATGAAAACAAGCCAAAACTCCTCATTCGTCGGTAAACACTTCGCATGCCAATAGGTCTTCCGTGTTCTGCAAACCATTCATTTGCAATGGACCTGGTAGTGGAGAAACGGTCCCTTAAGGCCAATTATCTTAGGCGGCGATCTTCACGGTCTGTTGTTCTACGGCGGCGTCCAGTGCCCCTTGCTCTTTGCGTACGGCCTTCTCGAAGCCATGCCTGACAACACCTAACCACAGTGTCTACACTTCTTTGCACTCTAACTGCAATTGCCCGAAAAGAAAGTCCAGCTTCCCGAAGTCCCACTATACGGCCCCTATCAAACTCACTAAGTTGACGAAATCGTACAGGTCTCCGCACTCCAGGCATCGTAACCGATGGTAAAGGATGTCAAGAACCAAAATCCGCCAACGTTGATTCTTTACTGCGGCTGAAATATTCATTTTTAGAGCGTTAGTGAATTAAAAAAAAGCAGTATAATAACCGGAATGTCCAACTGATAAGGTTGAAAGTTTTTTCACTTGTTATTTACAGTAAGATAAATACATTCACCAACTTTTATTAAAATAAAACCATTTAAACTGGGTGTTCGGATTTATATGTCACTTAGTATACATACAAAGGCTTACCTGCAAATATCTATCTAATCATGAACATTTTTCTACTATCGAAACACAGTATTGGAAAAAGCAGATTAAAAAATTAACTCACACTATCGATCAAGCGACGCGAAATTCCCAACTCAAGAGACTGTACTGATGAATGATGATTGAGATGTTTTATCAGGTCGAATCAAATTTTCTGTCACTCTTTATATTACATGTACTAGGCAGCAAAGCATTGCAACGACGAAACGGTCCAAATCGAAAAAGCATCCTAGCCAATAATTTCTAATCACCACTTGTCTGTATGTATCCACACTTCTTAGTCTTATGTTTTGATCACCATATTTCTATCATATTTCTAATAAGGACGTTTTTGTTGCAGAGTGAAAAAGGAATACAACCCAATCTTCAGTACGAATAAGTGATTCTTCTAAGCTTATTTCAAAATTCACTTTACCTATACCATTAACACTTTGTTAGATTGCAACTTGTATAGATGACGAATTAAATGCAATTACGAGTACTATAAAACGAGTTTCTTTTCGCGTCGGTGATTATGGGAAAGTGATAATATGCCAAATTACCAAATAACAGTAATGTCGAATAAAAACTAAGAGTTTCCCTGCAACGTGTTCATTTCATTTGGGTATATTATGATTCTTATCCATTTTCATTATGTTTTCTGTTTTATGATCTCCTCATCATGAATATCATTACCTTCCATCTTTCAATATCCCTGTCTGCCTGTCCGTTGGTATTTCTATCACCAAGTAATTCCAGCACCTGCTGAATAGATTTTGATGTTCTCTATTAGAAAAGTTCATTAGCAGTAAAGTCGTTCGCGAAAAAAAAAATAGCCTTGTTCGACATACAGATAATTTTTGAGAATTGTTAGGCAATTGAAGTTGCAGGAAGCCAATAAAAAAAAGCCAGTGTATGAGAGGATCGAAAATACACACATACAGGGTGGACAATTTATAACTGACTAATGTAAATTGCGCACCATTTTTGATACACACATTTCAGTAGGTGGCGCCTTGGTAGTTGTTCAAAGCACATGTGTCCAATTCATCATGGAGCGCTAGACGATCCCACAAAGCGTCCGTATTGTTAAAACTTCTTACTTAAATAATGAGTCGATTGCTGCAACGATTCAGAAGCTACGAAAAGATTTCGGTCAAAATAATGTGCCCAGTTAGTGCGAAAATTTGATTAAGCCAGTGAAGTTAAAGACTTGTCAAGGTCAGGCCGTGTTCGAACTGTTCGTACTCCGGAAAATATCGAGCGAGTTTGTGAAAGCGTAGTGCAGCGCTCTAAGACGTCTACCAGACATCGTTCTCAAGAACTGGGTACTCGTCGCACGTCATCATGCGCTATTTTAAAAAAAGACTTGCATTTGCGACCATACAATATTCAGTTAACTCAAGAACTACAGCCTAGTGACCATGAAACTCGCCGACAATTCAGTCATGCAATATTCAGCTTAGTACCCAAAATAACGATTTTTACCGACAACGATGAAGCCCACCTCGATATGAACGGATTTGTTAATAAGCAGAATTGTCATGTCTGGGCATTAGACAACCTTCGTGTCATCCATCAACGACCACTACATCCTCGTCGAGTCACAGCTTGGTGCGGCGTTTTGTATGGAGGTGTCATTGGACCTTACTTCTGTGAAGACGCTGCAGTACAGTCACTGGCGAGCGCTACCGTGATTTGGTGCAAAACTTTTTAAATCCAATAATCTAACCCGCAAAACATGTGATTCAAGCAAGACGGAGCAACTTGTCACACAGCTAGGGAAACAATGAATCTTTTGCGAACAATATTTCCGGGACGTTTAATTTCTCGATTTGGTGATGTCAACAAGGTCACCGGATTTAGCGATTCGTATTTTTTTATGGGGTTTTTTGAAAAATAGGGCTTATGCCGACAGACTAAATACTGTAGAGCAGTTGAAGAACAAAATTACGGAAGCGACTGAAAATATTCCTCCCGAATCCTACCAAAAAGTGATTGAAAATGTCATCATACATAATTTGTAAGTTTCAATAAAATATTAAGGTGAACAGCGTATTATGTTTCATTTCACAAATGTTATAGATACAAACCAGTCAATTACATATCGGCCAACCTGTATAATGAAATGCATCTACAAAAAGATCAATTTGTGACGGGCTTCGATGAGTTTCAATTATTCCAATAATATTCATTTGTAAGTATTATTCATTAATTACGCTTAAAAGAAAACAGAAAGATTACGATAATTGATAAATGACATGAGTAACAACTCATCATATCAGTTGGAGAGATACATGGTTCTCAGGATACCGGGATACATTATACAAGCGAGATTAATAATCGATTCGAAAAAATACCTTACGATTTCAATATAATTACAAAAAAAGAAACAAGCAACAGTAAAGAATAAGAATAAAGTCTGTGTCATCGAACAGATTTCGTTATTCGATGCAGTCAATATAGCCTAGGAAACTTAGATATGAAGTTATTGCATCATCATATAGTTTTAAATATTAAGAGAATTTATTGGAATGTGTATCAATTTCATCACCCAAATGTAGAAAAGGTAACCTTTTATTCTCCTATTTAGCTTCTAACGTATGTTGGATTTTTTTTATGAAATAATATATTTAAACACTAACTAGTCATCATAATGATAACCCAATACTCAACTAAAATATACTATCGAATTATGTGGAGTGGCTCATTCTGCTCTAAGAGACGCAACTTTCTCGAATGTCCATCATGAGGTCCTTCTCTCAGTTTTTCGTGATTTCGCGGTCTTAATTGTTCTTGATCTTGGGCTGCCCAGCCTCCATGATAGACCTCCTAGACAAAAAACACAAAAATCTTCTATTGGGCGAGCCTGGGGCAAGTTTAGAGGATTATCGTTTTTGGGAACAAAAGGTATGTTGTGTTGTCCAAGCCAGTTTTGGGTATCTTTTGAGTCATTAGCATGATGTTCTTGGACAACCTGAAGCAATCTGGAAAGGCAGTCATTTATATAGCTCTGACTACTCAAAGCTTCACCTCTCACTTTTTCCACAAAATGTTGGGATACACCCCTGCTGTTAGAAATTGCGTACCGCACAAGAATTTTTTCTGCCTAATTCGATTCATGTTTGTATCTAACATTGTCAGTGCATTCCTCTACGTTGTCCGTATAAAATCCGTCGTCTCCCTTCATTTCAGAACTTCTCACAGTTAAATACTTTTCGTCATGTAAAATAATTATTTGACAAAGTGTACCCGCCTCAGTTGACCACACCAACTTGCTATACGAAGGAGTCGAGCTGGAGCACGTAAGTCTCTTTCGACATTTAAGACCATTCCTGATCAATTCCAACGATGAGCCGTATTCGTAAAAGAGAAGCATATCCTCGGAAGCATAAGGTAAGTATAAGGTCTTGCTTCGGAAAAAAGGTAGGAGTATAAGCGTATCTTTATTTTCATATTAGACTCACATTTAAAATGGAATATACGATGATATGATCGAAAGTCGTATAAGTTAATATTATGTTGGGATGGAGCACTTGATAACCAAATTAATAAATTAGAAATTATCCAAAAACAATTTTTAAAAATAATCTTCAACAAACCACTCTTATACCCATCTGATCTGTTGTATTCTGAAGCAAACCCTAGGCAACAATTTTTTTATAAAATTATAAATTATCAATTTCACGATAGAAATAACCTTATTCCGTTAGATCATTTATATTAAACTAGAAACAAAATCCACAACATTAAGCGAACACCTTTCACCTCAAACAGTATAGACCAAAGATGTCATACTTACCTTTCCAGTAGATTATATTACATACTACCAAATTATATAAGAAATATTTCAAATAAAACAAAATTCAAAATTGAAACCAAAAAATTTACAATTGAAAAAAATCGACATCAAATTGCAAACATGATACGTATCAAAGAAATTTTAAATTGATGTAATAGTATGTGTGCATCTATTTATGTGTTTATTTGTATGAATATATATGTATATGTACTCGTATATATGTGTAGATATATATGTGTATAGGTGTATAGGTGTGTGTGTATACGTGTGTATATGTATATTTATGTAAAAATGTAAGTTAATACCCACGCACAAGAATTTATTCTTCTGTGGGTAAATTCAGTTTATTTACGTATACGTATGTTAGTTTTAGTTATATTTGTATGTTACGTAAATAAACTTATTATTATTATTATTATTATTATTATATTCATAACGATTACCTTATATTCGCGAGGATATCCTCCAAGAAGAAGTAAATTTAAATCTTGAGCGACATGCCCTGACTTGTTCCAGCTTGTAGTTGACATGGGAGTTCGTTCACTCAGCATCACAGACATTTGTACTCCAGAGCTTACACAGGCCGTTCCGTATTTTTACTGGATACAATAATTATTTTCGGCACATTTTCCAACTTTACGCGGCAAACATACTGCAGGATAGGAAACCGGCGTTTCAGTTGGTGTTCAATTAAAACTCTTTCTTGTTTTAAAAGCTTATTATAATTTATTTCTGCATCTGGAGTAGGATTTCTGAAAAGAGTCATAAGGCATGGCTCAACACTATAACCGTCATCGCCAAGTAGTACAACATTTGCTTTATTTACTAGTTGTGATCTAGTCTGTGAATTTCTCCATATTCTGGAATCATGCACTGATCCAGGCCAACTGACATCAATACTTGTAAACATCTCTCTGGCATCACAAGTGGCTTGCACATTTAAAGTAGGTTTCCCTTTTCGGTTGATATATTCATCTCCATGGCGATTTGGTTTCAGGCTTCCCATATGTATTACACCAATTGCTGTCGGAAATTTATACAGGCTTTGCCATATCCGCTTCGCCTCCATCAGCTCATGGTTGGTAGTTGGAAACTTGATCCATTCGTTCGACTGTGCAACTATGCTGTTCACAACTCTATCCACAGTCCGAGATACCGTTGCTTGACTAACACCAAGTTCCTGACCAAAACCTTGTTGACATCCAGGGTCACCGAGATAGCGTAGACATATTTTCATTTATGAATACATGAAAGTGCTCCTCCTCGAGTTTCCTCATTCTCAACTAAAAATATGTCCGCAAGTCATTGTACATTTGCTTCGTCGAACCGATATAATTTTTTGCAGTCACGAGCAAGTGAATGTAAACGAGGTTTGTACGTTTTAACATCACTAACATCCACAATTTCCGCCATCATCGTTTGCCCACCTGTCGTTACGAAGCTGAGTCTGCTACTGACCACACTCAGAATTTTTGAAGGATATGCTTCCTATGCCAAGTATAAGGTGAAGATTATGAATATCTTTTTACTTATGTCACTGCTTATGCATATGCTTATACTCAAAAAGCAAAAGCATTTATTTCAAATTATTATAAATCCTATCTGGAGGATTTCCTTCAAAATTACAAGTAAAAGGATATCCTTTGTTTTACGAATACGGCTCGATATCTTACTCGTAGATCTGTAGTAACGAGCCAGTCTCTTTGTTGACATTCCAACGTGATTTTTTGCCCTTCTCACCAATCTCTCTGACCTCTGTGCAGTAAATGCACGTGTTCTTCCACTTTTTGGAAGATTCAAACATGGTATGCCCTGCTCGCACTCCGCTATTGTTCTGCGTGAAATGTTTTCATTCTGGAATATTCGACAGATTTCAGGTTTGGGTACCTGCCCAACCAACTTCTTATTTTTAATTTACACATCTTACAGCGAAAATTTCGAAATAAATAAATGTCAACTGACAGTAAAGTAAGTAAACAAACTTTTGTTTCCAAAGACAACTTGATATTATTTTGTGTTTGTTAAAATTAAAGCCAATGAATTTTGTGCTAAAACTTTTAGGAGATACGTTACTTCATCATTGAATCGGTCAGTGCAAAAACCATTCATTTTTTTTTTTTACTGAAAATGCTTCATTATAATGTATATACTTATTTTGATACGTATTTCCTTCAAGTATCACCACGTGATACACAATCACTGCAGAAACATCGTAAGTTAAATCGGTCATTTCAAAACAGTAGTCATTATCCTTGTAATGTTTTATTTTCATATTTATGTGCTATATACACCAGAATATCAAGATTAAATTACAACTACAAGAATAAGATTGTAATATTATCCGCTTCGCCCGAAATCACTTGTATGAGAGTTTTCTTGTTTCTTACCAAAACCATTGACTTAGTCCTTCTCGTTTGTATGACTGAGAAAGATTTTTAGGACTACGATAAATATTTTAAAAAGCTGCTTGTATAGATAGTATGCATATGGAATTAAACGCACAATACCTATCTTGCAATGTCGGTTGTTTTGTTAAGAAAATACCTTTTGGTACCTGGTAGTCAAACAAGAACATGGGTTCTTCTAGAACCGTTTGCTGATTATTGAAGAAAGTTGAACGTACTCGTATTACCTATGTATTTTTTCACTTGGCAGATTCATGGTTTGGATGTAAAACGGGGAATTCCACTTTCACAGGTGTTTGTTTTGGTTTTCCAGGTTTCTCTTATGCACCTTAAAAATATTTAAACATGCAATGTTAAAATATGTGATATGTTAATAAGCCAATATATGGTTAATATGGTATTTCATATTCTACTAATCCTATTTCCTGTTAAACAGCGTAAGTCCATAAGAGAGCTTACTCCCTCATTATTATTAATGAACTGTGAATATTATTGTAAATTTCAATCTGATAATACTCAACTACAATATTAAGTCCAAGAAAGAACTTTTAACCTGAAAAATTCAAATTATGGTCCTGGGGCTGACGGATTTCAGTAGAAATTATATATTTTTGATTATACTTTTCAAGAACTTTTCTGCCTACATCAAATGTCTGATAGTGCAATCGAATGCTTCATACGTTAAGCTGAATTACCCGAAAATGTAAGTGAATATAAGAAATTCCTAACTTAAAAATTAATGTTGACTATTTATTCACGGCAGTCAGAATCATGACGAGACGTGACGTTACACATTTTACAGAGAGTATAAGTAGAAATGAATACCTTTTAGGGATCTGTTCAGTTTATGAAATTAACAATAAGTGGAGGTGGATTGAAGATGTAGAAGCCATAAAACTCCTCCAAGCTGTATCAAAAATCTTACATCCCACATATTTTTGGTATGCCATATTTCGATGTCTGCGCGGGATTATAAGTAAATTTAGACCTAGTTGTATATTCATGATGGTATTTGATGACTTCAGATTCACGCCTATTTTTTAAAACAAAAAAGATTACCCAAGCATTCCTAATAAACAACTTCTAAACAACATTTGAACACCAAAGCGATATTGTCATTATCTTTTTGCATGAAACTGCAAAGTCCGAATGTTTACGTCAGTGCTTATTCTTTTGTAATTGGAAAAGGTAACTTAAGAATAGTGATTGCGCAAAAATATGTCTTAGTTTGTCGTATTTTCAACCATAATAAAAACAGGAAAACTTGTGGTGACAGAAAAATTAAAAAATATTAGTAATCCGAATTTATATTCAAACTAGGCATATGGGTGGGAAACTATGATCTTAGAATAGAAAATACAAATATGAATTGGAAGTTTTTATGAACTGATAGTGAGTCTATAGAGCATCAATGATAAAAATGACTGATCTATAGATATGGTATGGAATATCTGGCATTCATTTTTGATACATCGTGATATAACATCTGTGAGCAAAAAAATTAATCTCGGATTCAACGTGTGTACGATCGTCGTATGTTTAATTGAATAATTTCCTTCATTATAATGAGTTGCAGTCTGGTCCAGGGAGGCACAGCAGCAGCAAAAAAACTTACTGAATTGCTAACGACTTAGATAAATAAGTGAGCATCGGAATATCATCGCTCATTTTGTTATTTTCATAAATATTTACGCACCGCGATATTGATTGCGGAGTTATGAGAGGACCTCACCGTGGTACCAAAACCAACGGAGGACTGCGGAACCTTTATCAATGAAAAACGAAATAATAACTGAAACCGAAAAAGATCTCCATTTACAATGTGATGCATCTAGAGAGATCATAATCTTAAGAAGCATCCAAAAGTGGGATTCGGAGTTACAAGCTTTCTTCCGACATTTCCCTTAGTACTCTCTAAAATTGCACGAAGTCTGAAAAGCAGTTGTCAGTATGTTGGAGTTGTTTGGGAAATAGTAAATTACACACCTCGGTTGACAAATGGGTCATTTTATTGGTCGAGCACTACTAATGCTTCAAATGACTATATTCGATTAAGATATCTTCATTGATAAGCTTTATATTTACTCTAACCAAAACTTGCATCAACGACCATGTCGTTTTCTACTAGCTCAAATAAGAACAGGAGTCAGATTTGGGCGATTTGGACCTGTCAGTTACCGTTTTCAAGGACAGCAATGTGCTTACGTTGGGTGGTTTCCTGATTGTAGAGGTATTCAAGAAGGGTAGCTACTTAACGAGTTAAAGTACTTTCAAAAAAATGGAAACTGCATGTCACATAACTGAAGAATATATATCCGGAAAAACAAAGTATTTTCTAAAATACAGAAGAAACAAGATCTATTGCAAAACAAAATCACTCAAGCCTGTTGAAAACGTAACCGAATGCTTGAACCTGGCAGAACTGTCTGTCAGTGGCATAGGGAGTCTACTTACAATGTCACACTTAATGACGAAGAATTCTTCAGTAGTTTCAATAATCTCTGTGCATTGGGCGCTTTTTTGAAATATCCTCCGCTACAACTTCCATCACGTAGTTTAAATTTTTAACTTAAATAATGAAAATAAGCACAAAATATTAGTATCAGGAAAAAGCGACAATCATTTTGACTAAAAATATACATGTCCTCAAAGTTGGGTCTTTATAGAGCGTCTAGGTATAATAAGCAAGCTTTCCTAGTACCACATATACTAAAGCCTTAAAATAACCGAGAGCTATTAAGTTACGAAAACTTGGAGTGGGCCATGCCCGACCTTGAAGACCTTGAATCCTATGTTACAGGTCTAGTCATACAATTGCGTCAGTATCCAAATCAGGTACCGCGCAGTGTATAAGGTTGACCTAACTTATTTACAGTTGAATTTGAAAAAACCGAAATTAGCACCTTCCTACTTCGCAACTGTATTCAGATTGCTCCGAAATAAGGAAATAAAAGTGCTCGGACAGTAATGGCACACTTTTGCCTTTTGCACTGATTACATCGTTACCTTTCTGCGCACCTATTTACACATAATTAAACCACCAATCAAGATATTGATGAAGTTTTTGCAATTATCAAGACATCCATACCTTTTTTCCTCCCCGAGAGCCGTCCGACCAAAGTTTCCAATGACGCTGCAGCTTCTTGGGCTTATTGTACCTTGCTTTTCAAACTTACAGTACTCAATTCAGCAGTCTAGCGTTCTGTACCAGTTGGTACAGCTTCCCTGCCGGTACTGTTGTAAACTCCCTCGGTTCTAGTTTTGGTGTCCCGAGAGTGGAAGTCTTTACTACTGCTTCCCGAAGTCAGAATTTTGTGGGTTCATTTGGAATTGTATACGTAGAGGGCGCGTGCTCATGCTCTCCTCGTCCCAACCTTCTAATAATCAGATCCGTCAAAGGTTATGTCAACTGGTTCAAAGCTGTCTCAGGACAGGGCAGGTCCTTTGTCCTGCCTGGGTCTTTAAGTGTTTTTTTTAGTCTTCTGGTTGGCTTTATCCTTTGTCTGACTCTTCCCCTCTGCATCTGTTGTACCCTAGGATGTTTGACCAAAGGACCCCTGCTCCCCTTGGGTTTCTTCTTGTTTTATGACGAAGGTTATTTTTGTACGAATTTGGTCCATCAAGTGCTTTCTGCCATTTCCTAGCTTCACGATCTTCCTCCTTTGGGACCTGAAAGCATTCTCTATTCTAGTTCCGCAGTCCCATCCACTGATGCCTGAATTAACGACAGTACTTTCTTCGGGAGTTTCTTCGTCTCTTCTTCTTCATCTTTTTGTTTTTCCTCACGAACACTATGTTGCTACAATCCATCCTTCTAGTGACTCATTGGGAG